TAATTAGAATGTGCTGTTTAGATGCATTAGGTCCTTAGAACTCATCTTTGAAGTCAGCATACTGAAAAGGGAACACCTCGAATTATAACCAAAAATTGAGATGTATCATACACCATTGTGTAGAGCATGGTCGATAACCTATTGCAAATTTTTTTAACCCGAAATTAAAAAGTTATCGGGCTTCAAAGTTTCCCTCACTTTTCTTATTAAAGAGAAAATACTCTTTTTCGCCTATTGAAGAACAATGTCCACCACTGCTGCATCTAATACGGATTAAAAAATGGAAAGAGGGCAGAGACGCTTTTCCCTTTCCTTTTCCCCATTCTTTTTCTCCTTGTTTAACCAACATGGACAAAGAAGAGGAAAGGAAAAAAGGAAAAAGAGAGTCACAATTCCCGCTTTATTAAAAAATGATGGGACTCAGCTAATCCGAAAGTCGAAAATTTTTAAGCACTATAACTTTTCGATTTGGGAGGCAGGGTCAAAAAAGCCAACAATTGACAATGAGTTATCGACACTGCTTTACACAATTGCGTATGTTACTTTGGTCTTATTTGTTAGTTCACAGTGTTCACTTTAAGTATACTGACTTCGAAGATGAGTTCAAACTTATAAACATCAATCGGCAAAAACCTAAATAGATTTTTTACACTTTTCACACTTTCTAGTGGATTTTTAGCTAATCGGAAATAATTAGGTATCCATAATGTCAACACTCAAATTTTTTCCCTTTCCCATTGATCTTTTGTATTGTGCAGAAAAGGAAGAATTAGAGCAATCCGAAATGTCACTACTCAAATTCTTCTCCCTTTCTCTTTGAAGTTTTGCTACAGGAAAAAATTCACACAATGCAAAATAATATTTTGGATTGTGCTAATATTTCGGATTGCCATTTTTTGTAAGGTTTCGATATAAGACCCATACCATTCGATTCGACTCAACAAGCTGAGTCGAAGGAGATGCCTGTGGACCGAGATATAGGTCCTCGAAAATCGAAAAACCATAGGGGGTGAAAAATTAGACTGAGTCGAATGACACCAAAATCAACTCGATCTAACAAGTTTGAACAAAGTTATGATCGTTTGTTATAGGACTTCAGTTTCCGACTTTTGGAGCGGTATAACCCTATAACGACTTTTGGAGCGGTATAACCCTATAACTTTTCGATTTAGGGAGTAGGGCCGAAAAAGAAAAAAACTGGCAATAGGAAATCGACCCTTCTCTACATGATGGTATAAAAATAATTACGAAATAATTGGTAATCCTCAAAAATATCGAACAGGCCCTTTATTCTAATTTTTTTCTAGGAACTAATAAACTAAAAGATTACCACATTTCGGATTAGCTAAAAAACCATCTAGAATGGATTGAGAAAGAAGAGTTTTTTCACGTTTTAATTGCCAATTAATGATTGAAAGTTTGAACTCATATTTACACTCAGCACAATTGATTACCTAATGTCAAACTAACCAAGGTGAAGTTAAATAAGTCCAAAAAATTAGGCGGAAACCGGTAATAGTGAAAATTACTTATCCCTAGAAAAAATAAGCAAAAAGTGCGTTTTCGATATTGCTTATGCTTGGCAGTAGGTAAATTCGGTTAAAAATCTGAAATTAGGATACTAGACATTCTTACTCATCTCCTAGAGTTGAGTTGGATGGTATCAAATTAATTGTGACGACAACATTAAACGAAAGTATGATCAATTAAATAGTCGACGTTTGGAATAAAAGATAAAAACTCCCTCATACAAATCAATATCAGAATTTGGTTGAAAGGTGTCGAAACATAATTTTTCAAGTTAGCACCACAATCTTAATTTTCGAATTCCAACCCGTTTTTAACCTAATCGAATTCAGGTCCGGGATTCGAAATAAAATTTTAATTCATATTCGGACTCAGTATACTCAAAAATTATTTACTTTAACTACCCACCCCAAAATTTTGCCAGATGTATTTTGTATATAGACAATTTATATATCATTCGAAAGAGCTCGCCGAGCTGCATCGAAAGAAACCAAAATCAGCCCGCGGTCTCAAGTCTGAGCTGAGACGAATGGGCTTAAAACGGTCAAAGCGAATTTTTTGCAAAACCCCGAGTTTCGCGAGAATTTTGCGGCAAGCGCTTCGTGTGGAGCTAAAGGGCGTTGAGTTCTAGACCAGTAACATAAACCTATACCTTTTTGGCTCTACTCCAGTTTATGCGTCCAATCGACTTTTATGCGTCCAATGAAAGTTTATGCGTCCAATAAAAAGAAAATTGGATTTTTCTTGGTATTGCACAGTTGGGGTATGGATCCACAACATTTCTTCGTGTTCGGGACCTACGTCCACTGGGTCTGGGACCATTCCTTACTCTATACCTAGAAATTTTTTAAAGTTACAGCCAATTTTTTAAAATTTCAGAAAAACGATTATAACTTTCAGAAATTTCGAAGGGTCGGGTAAGGAATGGTCCCAGACCCAGTGGACGTAGGTCCCGACATAAAGAAATGCTTTGGACCCATACCTCAACTGTGCAATACCAAGAAAAATCCAATTTTCTTTTTATTGGACGCATAAACTTTCATTGGACGCATAAAAGTCGATTGGACGCATAAACTGGAGTAGAGCCACCTTTTTTCCGATTTTTAGCCGTGAAATTCGGACCTCCCCCTTAGCCGCACAAAATCAGTTATTTCAGCGAATATTCAGTTCCTCGTAATTTTGTTCAAAATCATCAAATCAGGCTGATTTTGTTATCATTCGACTCAGCTCGTCGAGCTCTTTCGAATGACATATATATTGTCCAAATCTAGATGAAAAATCCCACGGTAAAATTTTGGGGTGGGTAGTTAAAGTAAATAAGTTCCCAAACACCTTCCCAGAAACCCAACAGAAAAAACAGTTCATTTTCTCTATGGACCAGTAATCTCCACTATCACCTGGAACTCTTAACTCCAATCAAAGGAAACCCCTATCCTTCAATATTAACCCAAAAAACTTAAAACTTGCAAAATACCAACAACAGCAGCGGAGAAAGCAATTGATGTTGCGTAGTTACAGTAAAGAGCATTTGAAGTTTTTCTCAACATTACCTAAATTTGAAAAAGTAATGTACTAAAAACAAATTTGAAAAAAAACTTTAAAAATTCACTGAAAATTTTCTTAACTACGGGCCTATAAGCAATTTTTATGCATGCATGACAAAAATGATGCATGACTAACACAAGAATTTTGGCATTAATTTAAAATGGATACTTATAAAAGACCAAAATTGATATAAACAAGCATATGAATAGATGCCCTGGAAGCCTTAGATAACTTAGGATCCACCAGGGACTCATACATAGGGATCATATTCTAAAACGAGATAGCAGCTTAGCCCAGAACTTTCCCCTAAAATGTAATAAGGGTAAACGATTTGCTGGCGCGAGATGTGAATTAAAAAGCGGCGGGTAACTTTTTGAACCCTCATCAGAGGAAGGTTACAGACTTACTCATTCTCTAGCTATGAAGCAAGTAAAGCATCGCAGTTATTATAATACGACCCTAGTGCTAACAAAAGACAGCCCCGTATATTTCAGAAATCGGTAAACGTAAAGCCTAAGAAAAAATGAGCAAAAAGTGTTTTTTTGATATTTCGAGTTTTGGGGAACGAGTGTAACAAACAATTAAGATTAATCTGACACTTCTCTTCGACATGAGTCGAATAGTATCAAAATTTGTTTCAACCCGCATTAAACTTGTCGTTACACTAACATTATACCACTCAACTAGCTAAATGAGACGAGTCATTAATAGCTAGAGTATCCTAACGAAGGATCCCGAATCATTCTAAACCCGTATTTGACTCAGAACACTCAATTACTGGTAAACCTCAAAACGCCGAAAGAGCACATTTTGCTCATTTTGCTAGTGACCCAGTATTCGTCACCTAAACCCGAAAATAAAAAGTTTAAAGAAAAACCTTGCAAATTACTTCAACAATACTCATCCATCTATATTTCATCCATCAAACAGGTCACACATCTGATGCTGGCACATCAAAATCCTGACAAAATCTGACACATCAAGATTCATCTCAAATTGTCATAGCATTGTCAGAAGAAAAGAGTAGAAATAAATTTTTGAAAATTTTTGAACTCTAAAAAATTTAAAAGAAATTAATCAAATTTGTTATGAATAAGGTTGTAGGATGCCGCGAATCAAAGAAGGAAGAAGTTATTGATTTTAATCCCTAACCTATGACAAAACAGAAATTTGGGCAGTCGTTGTTTACAAAAATGGAAAGAAAACGAAAGAAAATGAAATTAAAAAAAGAAGCACGCAAAGAAAAAACTCTAATTCTCTGTTTTGTAAACTCTATAAAATAAATGATGTTATGCCAAAAGTTACTAATTTAAATTTAAAAAAGTCAAACACTCAATTACTTCAAAACATCTAAAGACAAAAAGGAATTACAATATATGTATGTACTCGTCAATTATGTTTGTTAACCTTGAATTTGTTTTCGGGAGTTCGAACTTTAGGACTATAAACGGCTAGAAGAAAAAAAGGGTAGGTAAACTGACTTGGAAAATGTCATATTCTAATTGAAATGATAGAGATGAAAAATTTCAAATTTATTGATTTACTTGAAAAATTGGTGAGAGGCAAAACGGGGAAACTTCCACCAAGTTGTTCAACAAAGAGGGACGCCAGCGTAGGTTCGGCGCGAGGCAAGTGTACCCCGACTCGAAATGCCATACGGGCATTAAAAAGCACCGTTCACTTTTACAGATAATACAAAATCGATTTATATCGATAAACCGTCAAACAAAATTCGTGCTAAATCCATTCAATGAATATTTTTGAATTGATTTTTTCGAAAATAGATTTATACTTGTATAGTAAACACAACAAAAAGATTTTTAGACCAAAAAGCATCAACAAAAAATGATATTTTTGTTTAATCCATATCATCAATCTGCTCACTCCCCCTTGCTTTCCTTCAATTCCTCCATTGCTCTTCTACATATTCAAATTTTCTCATTTTCCAAAAATTCTTTCAATTTTTCCAAAGCTTTTCCTCTATGAGATATTTTGTTTTTTTCTTCTGATGTCATTTCTGCAAATGTTTTTCCAAAACCGTTTGGCTGAAAAATGATAAAATTGATATTATTTTTATACATTTTTACCATAAAACAAGGATCCCAACCAAATTGACGACTTCCTCTAGGCTCGACTATTATTCCTTCTGTCCTGCCTAAAAAGCCAGAATTAATTTTACAAAAGATTTAAGACCTTGGAATGTATAAATTTGTTGATTTACACCTTTACAATATGCAAAAGTGCAGAGTGCATAGCCCGATTTGTCTTCAAATCCAGCTTTAAATGTGAATTTATTTAAATTTTGAGGGAATTTTTTGGCCGGTTTGAAGTAATGAATTAAATAAAAATCAATTCTTACCCTAAAAAATAAACGCAGGCAAGACAAATCATTTAAAAAATCCAAAATTTAAAAATTACCTAACAACTTTATCAATCCTTCCGGCTTCAATTTTTCCAGAAACCATTTAATATAAGGTCCTTGAATATAAAAAATTTTAGGGTCAAAATAACATCCAAAATTACCGGGTAACCCTCCAAAAGCATTAAAACACAAACAAGTATCCTCCACAAGTACGGGCCCTTCAATCTGTTTAACTGCGTGTTCACATTTTTTGGCAACAATTTCGTCTGGTTCTCCTTGAAATTCGGGCAGGTCAAGTCCGATATGTTCTACCTATTTATGAACAATTTTTAAGCAAATTCGGGAAATTAAAGAAAATCTAAACACCCAAAAAGTCAAACCATCCCTAAACACCGTCAAGTTATGGAAGAAATTGTAAGGAAAAGTGAATGTCCGAGGATAGTGTTTTTCCTCTTAAAGTTGCTTTGAGAGGAGTTTGCCGTTTCCTCTTAAATTAAAGTCTAATCCCCCTCACCCCCCCCAATTACTACATATTTTTTTCTAATCTTACATTGAAATTGCTTCCCAACAAAGCTCTAAGTTCTTTAAGTTTGTTTTGATTGCTAGTAACAAATTTTAGATTTCTGACATTCATTTCAAAATTTTTAATAAATTAATAAAAATAAAAGATTGACAAGAATAACAACAAAAAAAAACAAAATATTTTCTTTGTTTTAACAAAACAAAATTTCAAAATTTAATTTAAAAAATTTCTTTATTTCACAAAAAATTAATTCCCGCAGCAAATTGTAATCCAGACGAACAATTATCCCCAGGAAAATAACGAAGAGGCAAAACATAATTTAATTCAAGTCGGGCAGTATTAAAAAAATTAATTGCCAATCCAATACCCGCTGAAATTCTTTGCTTCATTATGAGATCGGTCAATAAATTATTTGAGTGTTTTAAACTTAATGAACCAGAAGCGAGAAATAAATGGGCAAATACCTGGAAAAATAAAAATTAAATTGAAAGGAAATAAAAGAATAGTGGTAAAAATAAAAAATAAAAATTCAAATCGGAAAAATATCAGAATTCTGAAAAAATAATTCAAAAATCAGAATTTTAGAAAGAGCAGAATGATGGTAAAACCCAGAAAAAAAAGAAATCTAGATAAGAATTACAGACTGAAATACAAGCCAGAAATCAGAATTATTAAATACGCATCAGAATAATAACAAAATCAAAACTTAAATGCTTAAGGATTCAGATAAAAGTATAAAAAAGCAAAATAGAATTAGAGAGAAAAGCTTACCTACAAAAATAGAAAATCAGAATTAGGTATATCAGAAATACAAACAAAACGTAAACCAAACTAGTATTTCCAAAAGAAATTCAAAAGCAGCACAAATCTGACAAATAAACATCAGAAAAAACTAAACAATCATTAACAAACAGACTTCAAAAAAAGTAAAGAACACAAAAATGCAAACAAAAAAGTCGGAAAATTTAACAAAATCTTTATAGTTTTAAAAAAATTACCGTGTCAGAAGGTATTAAAGGCGCATAAATATGAAAAACATTAGAGAAAGAAGCAACACCGCCAAGAGAACAATTTTCTGTTTGGATTCCAATTGAATTTTGTTCAAATCCTCTCAAATCATAGGGGCCACCCAAATAAATTCTGTCAAGTAAATGTAAACATTCTCTTTGACCCAAAGATTTTATAAAAGCAAAACGAGTTGATAAAGAAAATATTAAACCATAAAATGGGTCTGTGATGGATGTCTTTAAAAAAGGAATTAAAAATTTATTTTTTTTGTCAAAAATTCCTCTTTTAAAATTTAAATAAACAAAAAAATTTAAAGTTTTTTTTTGATTTTTAATGGAATTGTCTTTTTGGTAAAGCAGATAGAAGGGAATTTTGGAATAGATGAAAAATTAGGAAAAATGCGTTACACAAACCGAATCAGGATTATGAGTGTTTTTCTGAATATGGGACCCTGGCCTAATTCTATATTTTAAAATTCATTCATTTAAGAATTAAAATGACCTCTTCCAAGTTAAAAATTCAAACCTGATAATCAAAAATTGATTTGAAGAAAGAAGTATCCCCAACCAAACCAGCCAATTCATTAGTTAATTTATATAAAGACCCAAATTCTGGAATTATTAATCTATCTCTAGTATCTTTATAAATTAAATGTTCAACAGAGAATTTTGTTGTATGGCCAGCGTGTTCACGAATGGGAAATGGAGTTTCGTTTTTTGGAAGAAAAAGACGCCAAATCTTTGAAAAAAATTTTTTTTAGAATGTAAAAGGAAATTCTAAATGGTTGATTTGAATTCCTATAACTTTCCGAAATGGGGGTCAGGGCCAAAAAAAGTCAAAAATTAGCAATAGGTTATCGACAATGCTCTACACGATGGTGTATGTTTCATCGCTAAATTTTGGTGGTTGTTCGAGATGGTTCCTTCCTAGCCATTTATAAAGGGAAACAACTTAAATAAAAATTTATTTTCATGGGAAAAAGATATTAGAATAACTATTTGGCCCCACACTCTGCCCAAGTGCCATTCATTCCTAAAATGACTAAAAACTAAAAAATATCAAAAAATAACCATATTTAGCCTCAAAGAAGAGATAATTCGATTAGATAAAAATCCGGTATTTAATTGTAAAACAGCAGCATTCTCTACAGAATCACATTTATTCCATCGAAAATAATCAGTGTTTTTGAATAAATGGGCACTCAAATTATTATAATTTTCCCAGCCAAGAAATGGTTTTACAGCTTAAAGAAGAAAAATAAAAAATTATTTGAGACAAATTTTAAAAAATAAATTCATGTAAGATGAGGAAAATTAAAAACTCCAAAATTTTAAGTGAAATTTTATCTGGGTCAAGTCTCACGCCATTCAAAATAAAGAATTCCAGTTGTAATTTAGTACGAAATTCATATTTTTTTCCCACTTTTTAGACTTAAATTAATGTTTTTAAAAATCATTCAAAATTTAGAGCAGAAAAATAAAAATTCGAAAATATTAGATTTAAACCTGTGAATCCAAAATTATACCCTCCATGTTCTTTAATTCCTTTAGAATAATTTAATTCTGCACACTCTCCACGGCCAAATATGTTCTTTAAAAAATATTTTTTTATAAATTTTAATTAATTAATTATACAGTTCTTCTAGCAGTAACACCCGCATCAGTATCTCCACTTGTCTTCATTTCCATTTTTATATTTAATTTTATAGGTCTTTTATTCTCTTGAACAGTAAATTTGACAGAATAATCAGAATCACCTGAAGTATCGATTTTTGGTAAACAAACTTCAAAAAGGCCCATTTTCTGGAGAATAAATAAAAAAATTGACAGGACTGAAATTTTATTTAAAAGGTATCACACGCACCTTTCCCCAAAAAAATTCAGAATTTTGGAAAAATTTAGTTTGAGATTCCACTCCGACATGAACGATATATGCTACTCGAAAGAGCTAGAAAAGCCTAGTCGAATGGACACCAAAATTAGCCCGCGGCCTCGATTATAGGCCAAGATATAGGGCCCAAAAAATTGAATAGGATGCACAAGCTCATCTTTGGTACAAAAAATTAATTTAAAAAACCTGCATATGAATAGAAGCCGTATTTGCCATTTTAATAAGTTGATCTCTAAAAAATAAAATTCTTAAAATATTTAATAAAAACAAACAAATTTTTTGCATTAAATAATTCAGAAACTTCTTTAATTAAAGCATCACGTTTAGTCATTGTAACACCATAAAATTCAATAGATTTCAAAACAACGGGAATATTGCTAATTTTGTCATAAAAATAATTTAAAGGAGTTGATTGATTGATTGATAACATTTTTTTTGAAATTTTGTTATAAAATGGAAAAATAAATCTATAAAAATAAAAAAAAATTTTAGCAAATTTCAAAGCAAAAAACGAAGATATTTGGAAAAGTTGATTTTATTCATTTAAAAGTTGATATACAACAAAGGGAGTCCACTAACATTGTTGTAAAGGATCAGAAAAATAAATTTATTCTTGGCTTATTTCAAAGTAGAGACCGGCGCGGGACGGAATCCCGAAAGGATTTTCCGGGATCCCGAAATCCCCGATTTTTTTGATTTTCGGGATCCGGGATTTTTCTCGGGATTTATCCGTCGGGATCAATTAAAGAAAAAATCCCGACTCAGAATCCCTAAAGTTCGATCTTGCCAGTCTCTATTTCAAAGTATCAGCAGAAATCATGGATCAAAAAAATTTAGATTGAACATTTTAGATATTTTTGTTTAATTTACTAAAAAGAAAGTTAGACGAATTAACATTTTATGATTAGTTACCAAAATGAAAATTTTAAATGTCATTTTGTTAAATAATTGTTTAGCCTAAAATTCCCAAATTTGGGCCTATTTTTGTGTTTTTGCTAATTTAATTTTTAAGATAATGCTTAAAAAATTTAGTAATCCAACTTTGTGGCGTTCAAAAAATCCACATTCTCTTGAATATTTAAGGTTTATTTTATTTTTTATTTACAAAATTCTTTTTATTTTAAAGGTATTTGCAAGGTGTTTTAGTTAAAAATGAGAAAATAACAGAAGGAAATAGAGCTTTGGTGATTGAAGCAATGCGTGCAATTACTGAAATATTAATTTGGGGGGATCAAAATGATGCTGCTGTTTTTGAGTATAAATTTTGTTTTAAATTTAATTTTGTTGGATTAACTTGGCTTTTATTATTTATCTTTTAAGTTCTCCTAATACTGTTCATTGATATTATTTTAAGTTTTGGTTTGGCCTTATCCTAGCCTTTTTAGTGGAATTTTTTCTCATTTCTATTCCATCTTTCCTTAAAACTTCTTTAATGACTCTGTTATTCCCACACTTTCCAGAATTTTCACGGTCAAATTTGTCCGGACTTTAGCTTAATTAGCCCATTTATTAATAACCACTTGAGATCTTGAAGATGAGAAAAATTGAATTATTTGAATAACCCTTTTTTCCCGCCTCCAAATTTTTTGTTACCCGCAGACTTTGCTTAAATTTTATCAAAAATTAACAATAAGAATTTTTATATTTTTTTCTTTTTCAGTTTCTTCCTCGAAAGGCAAATGTTTTCACATTTTCTTCAAATTATGCAGCAGGCAGATACAAGTTTTGTAAATATTCAATTACTTCAAACATTAAATATTTTATTTGAAAATACTAAAAATGAGACGTCTCTATGTTTGTTTTCTTTTTTATAAAATTTAAAAAAAAATTTTTTTCAGATTTTTTGTTAAGCAATAATCATGTAAATTCAATTATTACCCACAATTTTGACTTTTCAAACGAAGAAATAATTGCTTATTATATTTCTTTTTTGAAGACTCTTTCTTTCAAATTAAATACAAAAACTGTCCATTTCTTTAGCGAGGTTTTTTAATTTTATATTTTTAAATTAGAGACTGGTCAGGCATGAGTATTTTTAATGTTTTTTGATTTTTGATATTCTTTAAATCAAGGGTTTTTTGGAATTTTATGACAAAAAATTGAATAAATATTCCTTTTCTGGGCCTCTTATAAGTTTAAAAAATTTTGACAAAACAATTATTTGTGTATTTTCTTTTTTCCTCCACTTCTGGCACCTTCCTTTTTTTAAGTTCTTTTTTCAATTTTTCAGTTCAGCTTTCTTCTAACACTTAGAAGAATACACAAATAATGATTCTTGCCCAAGAAAATTAACTATTTTATAGTCATCCTCCAATTTTTGGTATCAAAAAATATTTTATCTTCCTTTGTTTCAATTTTCAAATTCCAACGTTCTTGACACATTTAGACCCATTTTTGTTTCAGTTAATTTAAAAAGACCCTGACATTTCTTCCAAAAATATTTTCATCTTACTCATTTTTTAGAATGCAGACCAATTTCCTTTATTTACCGAAGCTGTCAGATTCCACAAGCATTCAGAACCGATGGTTAGAATTGCTGTGAGGACACTTACTTTAAATATATTTAAAGTTTATTTTAAATAATTTAAATAAAAATATTCCTCAAATTTTTTAAAGGTTAAAGAACAAATGCTTCACAAATTTGTGATTACCCATTCTCGAGATTATTTTAATAATGTTTGTCAAGAAATTGCTCATCAAATTATTGAGGTTTTTTTAATTTAATTTTTAATTATTTTTTTTAAATTTTAATAGATGGACACTTTTGCCAGATCTGCACAAAATGAAGCGAGCAATAGGTTTTTTTGAAGAAAATTTTGATTTTTTAAAATAAATTTTAAGATCTCGTTTATCTCAATATATAGACGTTCATATTGATAATTTGCATTATTTAAATGATATTTTGGTTATTGGAAATTCTGAATTGGTTTGTTTTTTTTTTGATTTTTATTTAAAGAGGAAAAGCTTTGCCATTTCCTTCTCTAAACTTATTCGGAGGTAGGATTTCATGGGCTGTAGCGAGGCGCGCCAACCTTTTTGGCGATCTAACAAGCGCAATTTTTATTATACGTATTTTTATTTTTTAGCGCCGCAAGTAAAGTTTTTTTTATTTTTCAAAGGCCAGAAACTAAAATTCTCTATTTTCAGCGGCGCAGGCGAAAAGTTTAGAAGGCTGTCTACAGAAAAAATCCACTTTTTATCTTTTCTCAAGATTTTTCATTTTTGCCCATTTCAGAGGAAAACTCGGAATTTTTTCCATTAAACCTCCAAAGTCCTACTAATTTTCCTTTTCAATTTTCAGAATTTATTAGTAATCGATTGTTTACATCAATTTTTAATTGGACCAATATATTTAGCTTCATTAGCATCAATTAGAGCCCAACCAAATACTTTATTAATTTCACGTGTTACTTGTTTATTTCTTTTTGCTCAATTTTTAAAAATTATACAAGAGACAGAAACTATTCAAAATGTGTTGACTTCCCTTTTCTTTGGAGATATTAATGATATTAAAACTGAATGGGTTAGAACTTTGAGTGATGGAATTAGTTTGGCTATGCTTAGAAAATGGGATAAATCTGTTGAAAGGTTTTATTTTAATTTGATGTTATTCTGATTGAGCTACATTATTTTTTTTATCTTATATATTTTTTAGGTTTATTCTAGAGTCTAGAATAATTTTAAAAAATAATCTACAGATAAGTTATAGATAAGCTTTTCCCTTTGATATTTTAGTCTACTTTACAATCCATCAAGGGTGTAGCAAAGGAGTGCCCCCTTGAAATGGGAGAATGTGGGAAAAATTTGGGAGAAGTATGGTTGAAAAGGTGAAATTTCGCCTGCGACCTTCAAAAAACAAAAATTTGTGTTCGGAATGTCAAACTAAATCCAAAATTTACAATTTTGGATTTAGCTACGCCCTTACAATCGTAGCTACGCCCTTACAATCCTTTCTCTTTAAAAAATTCTATACTCATACTGGTGCTTTTTTCTCAGTTTAAATTGTTCATTTTGAGCTTGCTAACTTTTTCTGAGTTTCTAGCCTTTAATTTTTTTTATTAATTAATACCCCTGAAACATTTTCTTTATTTCTATTACATAGTTCTCCATTTCGCAATCACCTATTTATGGCTTTACATGATGGCAATGATGATGACCATGCTTGTTTCTTTGCTCTTATTTTTATTAATTATATTTTACAGAACCAAGGTTTTTCTTTAAATTTATCAGAGAAAATTTTTTTAATTTTTTTAGCAGCACAAAAAGAATTGTTAAATGCTGCACAGTTACCCTTTCCCGGTTCTACAAATAAATGTGATTCTGAATTGGCTGATTGTTTAATTAGAATAATTGAAAATTGCTCTCTTACTGGTGTTTTTTGAAAAAATTTTTTGTTTAATTTTGCTCTTTTGCAATGAGAGGGTCGATGTTTTTTAATAAAAGCCATCGATTTTTTCGGAATCTTTTCCTTATATAATGAATAATGGAAAGGCTTGATCTTAAAATTTTGTATTCTTTAAATTTTTTCGATGCTAACAATAAACTAGGCTTAAGTCATTTTCTTAAGTCGGTTCATGAAATTGGGTAAAGTTCGGCTTTGTAGTAATATAAATGGGAGTCTTAGGTTAATCGTGTTTCCCCGGTATTAAGTTAGCGTTTTTTAGTCAATTTCTTCTTAATTTTTAATTTATTAATTATTTTTTAGACACGTTAATTCGTCCAATAACAGTTGAATTGTGTACTATTGTTCTTCGACATATTCTTCTTTGTTTAGAATCTGATCAAGAATTTTATTCATTAGTTGAATCTTCTGTTAGAAAAACTTTACATAAACTTTCTAATGTTTTAAGAGGGGCTTTGCAGACAGAAAAATTCTTTTTGGAAATGTTTGAAGAAGAATATTATCAATTACAGGTTTTTTAAATTGAGAAACTAAATTTTTATTTATTTTTTAAAAAGAAATCTGAAAGAAAAATAAATACATTTTTGGATGATCCAGGACTTTATTTGCCTCCAAGTAATACACCTTTGTCGTAAGTTTTTTATTGGATTTTTTTTTAAATTCGGGTCATTTATTCTACAACACTAAACCAAATTTTTAATTATACAGCGGAAACCCGTATTTTAATTCACCCAACATTACGTACATTCCCGTTTGATATATTTGGTTGGCCACTGGGGGGAATAACTACATGAACAATACCTTTAGTTTTATGTACGTAAAATCAAGGTTCTTTGTATTTTGTATGAAATCGATCGTGTCCTTTAAATTAGAATTGTTACCTTCCATTTTTAAAATAAAACGTCTAAATTAATAATTTGTTAAATTTTTAGAGGACTTCCTCTATTTAAAAGAATATCTAGTGGGAATGATGAACGAATTCGAAGGGTTTTTAAAAATGTTTTTCTTATAATTTTATATAATTTTTAAGAGTCTTCAATTTTACTTTATTATACGAAAATTTGCTCAAGATTTGTCTGGAGAGACAGAAAGTTTTCTTCCAATATCTTCACAATCTGAACCTATGGCCGAATTAAATGATTGTATTAATTTAAGTAAATTTTTTTATTTACGTGGGTGGGTGAGTCAATTCCCGTTGTTTTTGATCTCGTCTACCAATTTTCTGAAAAAAAAATTTTTTAGTTCATGGTATTTTAGTAGAGATTCAGGTATGTCACTTTTTCTGACCCAAAACCTGATCCGAAAAAAATTTTGAAGGCCCGAAGCCCTACTCTACTTTTTTGTCAACCCGTGACATCCCGGGTACAGTTTCTCTTGTTACCTAAATCGATCGAGTGAATTGGGGATCAGGGTTGCCGCCCGAAACCCGTACCCGAAGATTTTTTGTACCCGCGGCAACCCTGTTGGGGATTGTCTTTGAGCTTTAAAAATGTTTTAACCTTCCCTCCAATTCAATTTAATTATCTAGAACATTTTAATTTTGAATTATTTTCAAATTTAGATAACAGTGATTTACTTGCCTGTACAGTTGTAAATTCAAAGAATGAACGTCTCTCTCAATTTCTTGTAACTGATCAATTTCAATTTATTTTGGTTGAACCGGACAGTCGAAAATTGGGTTGGGGAATTGTCCGTTTTGTTGCTTTATTACAAGTAAATTTTGTTTTTTTTTAATTTTTGAAAGAAAATTAAATTTTAAAAGGATGTTTTAATTGTTGGAACTTCAGACAATCGAACTTTGCAAATCAACGTTGAGGTTTTTTATATTGAGGTTTTTTAACCTCGAATATATTTTTTTGATTTTTGGGGATGTGATTAATAAAATTAACAAAAAATTTAAATCAACAGAAAATGAACCAAAAAAGAATAATTTTTTTGATGGTTTAAGTAAGAAAGTTAAGGTCAAAAAATTTTTTTAATTAACTTAGAGGGTCTGTGAGAGGATCTTCCCTCGTCCCAGAGACAGAGACTACGATTTTTTTCAATTGATGTCCAAACTGTTTTTTCTTTCCAAAGTTTTTTAAATTTTCTGAAAATTTTTTTCTTTTCAAGGATGTTGAAACCCGTGTCAAAAAATCCGGCAAAAATATTTTTTCTGCCCACTTAATATTTGATGACTATATTCGTTGTATGGCTGCTAAACAACGTCTTAATCGTGGAAGGAAGCGTTGTCGACTTTACAGACTTGGAATTATTGCTGATATGCTTGGAATGCGTTTACCCCATTCTTTGCAAACAATGGAAGGTTCTCCAGTTATTGGAATAAATTCTTTGAGATTGCAAGGTTTGCCTGCTCCCGGGTCTGTTCAAAGACTTTCTTCTGCTTCGAGACGTAAAAATAGTGAAGCTTCGACAGGAGAGGGAAGATTAGTGGAAACAATACCTCCAGATCCTGATACAAGTAAACAATGTTCTACTTCTGGGGCAATACATCATGTGTAGATTTTATAAATTGTAATTAGTATTTGTCTGGGTTGTTTCCGGAGCGTTTTATAATACCAAAAGCTTGTAATACCAAACCCCCAAAAGCTGTTGAAATACCAAAGTGACCAAAAAAGCTTGAAATACCAAACCCCCAAAAGATGTTGAAATACCAAACCGTGGAAAAAAGCTTGTAATACCAAATACCCAAAAGCTGTTGAAATACCAAACCGTGAAAATTTTTTTTATAATCTCCTCTTTGTGTATAATATAATCCTCCTCCAAAATCCTTCATAATACAAAGTGTGGAAACCTTTCACACAAGGTTTCCGCGGAAAAAAGTTTTTGCCGCTGCGGATGAAGCCGGGCATGTCGAGCGGAACGACGGTCGCCGCGAGCGAAGCGAGCACGACCGCAGCGAAGCACGGCCATCGTGTAGCGAAGACCATGCCCGGCCTACCCTCCGTAGCAGCACAAAAACAGTTTTTCCAGCGAAGATTCAGTTGGTCATAACTTTGTTCATAATCATCTAATCGAGCTGATTTTGGTGTTATTCAGCTCAGCACGTCGAGCCCTTTCAAATGCATTATTATTTGTATATTCGAATTTTTTACTCCAAAAATCAGCTTGGCACAAGAACAGTTTTCCCAGCGAAGACTAAAAACAAACAGGCTAAAACCAACAAGTTATTCTGCCGGGAGATAAATAACAAAAAATTCCACAGTTTTAGTAACAAATTGAATAATAATAGTTTTGGTATTTATTTGGTATTACAAGCTTTTTTCCACGGTTTGGTATTTCAACATCTTTTGGGGGTTTGGTATTACAAGCTATTGGTATTACAAATTTTGGTATTTCAAGCTTTTGGTATTACAAGCTTTGGTATTATAACTAGAGATCGGACCGTACCGTACTACGGCCGTATTTTTCGGTATTTATCGGTATTCCGTATCGGTAGTACGGCACGGAATACGGTACGGCAAAATTTTGAAGTTGATCGGTATTTTTCGGTATCGGTATTTTTCGGTATTCCGTACCGTTTTACGGAACGGAAACAAAACAAAATACCGATAATACCGATCGATAAAAATTTTTAAAGTTTTATTTTATTTTAAGCGAAAAAAGGCTCTCGACCTTTGATAAATTTCAAAATTTTCGCCTGCGGCGCTAAAAAGGAAGAAATTTTGCTTCTTGGACTTACATCTTCTCAAAATTTTCGTCTGCGTGTGTTTAGCCCCACAATTTATAAATAAAATATTTATTTTTAACTGAATTAATTTTTTTAAATACGGTACGGAATACCGATAAATTTTTATCGGTATTTTTCGGTATCGGTATTTTTCGGTATTCCGTACCGTTTTACGGAACGGTAAAATTTTGAATTTTATCGGTATTTATCGGTATCGGTATTATACGGTATTACGGTACGGAATACGGTACGGAACAAAATTCCGATCTCTAATTATAACATCATACCGGTTGTTTCTCTTATAAAGAATTTTGGTTAATACCTAGATATTAACCAAGAATTTTGGGTGATACCTAGGACTGTCCAGGACTCGAGACAATTTTTGAATCCCTTGTCAGATTGGTGGGATTTTTTGTTCCTTGTGTCGAAAATTATTTTTACTTTGGTCAGTCACAAATTGAATTATAATTAAGAGAAACAATTCCAATACAAACCAATTTTCAATGAAAATAAATAATTTTTCCTGGTTAATTAATTTTAAGATTAATTTAGAAATTTAATTCAATGTATATGTCGGCGGAAAAATTCAGATTTAGGAAAAATTCAATTTTTCCGGAAAATTTCAATTTTTCCGGAAAAATTCAATTTTTCCGAGCATTTAGGAAAATTTCAGATAATAATAAAGATGTCAGTTGAGTCTGGGCTAGTTTTATGTTTTTTGGTATTTTTATGTGTGTTTTTGTTTTTTAGTGGGTTATCTATAAATTTCTTGATTTATTCAATATCACCATATTAAATAAGTTTGGATTTTTAAAAAAACACACGAAAAACAAACAACATAAACCTATGGGGAGTCGGCGAGACGCTTGTGCAAAACCCTGCGCTTCGCGCAGGGTTTTGCGGCACGCGTCTCGCGGGAGTCAACGGTCGCTGGGTTATGCACTAGTAACATAATTCTATTCCTTTTACCGATTTTCAGCATTGAAATGCCGACCTACCCATTCATTAGTAGCACAAAAATTAAAAAAAAACAAGAACTAGAAAACAAAATTAGAAAAATAAGCAAAACTATTTAAGAAAAGACAAACAAACCAAAAAACAAAACATAAAACAAAAGAAAAACAAACAAGAAAAAACATACTCAAAAAACGAAAAACAAGCGAAATAGTGTAAGACAGACTATTAAATTAATTTATTATCTGAAATTTTCCTAAATGCTCGGAAAAATTGAATTTTTCCGGAAAAATTGAAATTTTCCGGAAAAATTGAATTTTTCCTAAATCTGAATTTTACCGCCGACATATATATATTTTCTGTTCATTATAATTGTATTTTGAGTCTTTTTTTGACTTCCGTATAGTTTATTAAAATTAAATTTGGAATTTAATTATGTTTTAATTGTTTTCAAGCATTTGAATATTTTCTAAATTTTTTTATTAAATTTTTCTTAATTTTTAAAAGTCTAAAAATGGTTAAAGACACAGAATCCCCTCAACAAGCATCTTCATCTTCTGATCAATTGCCGCCTTGTCTAGTCGTTTTGGGTATGGCCGGTTCTGGCAAAACTACTTTTGTTCAGGTTAATTTTAAATAAATTAATTTTTAAATGAATTGAGGAAGGAAATTTAATTGGAAATGATGATAATGATTGGTTTTTTGAGATTAAATCGTGAATGTTGATTTTTTGTCAAGGTGCACTCCATCTGATCCACATTGCTTTTTTCTCCTAAATTTACTTTCTGAAATTTATTTTTTCACTTTTAGCGTCTAACCAGCCATCTTCATTCAAAAAGAACATTTCCTTATTTAATCAATCTTGATCCGGCAGCAGGAACTGTGCCTTTTCCAGCAAATATTGATATTAGAGACACGGTTATTTTGTTAAATTTTTTTTAAATTTTATGACGAGGGCTGAAAACTTGGGAGGACATTATCAAAAATAATATTTAGAAATCATTAATGAAACCCTTAGGGCAGACAGGGTTTCAAGAAATTAAGATTTTAGTCCTATTGCTTTTTAGATTTCTTGTTTTTTTTTCACCCGTTCCTTTGATTTTTTCATTATTTTTGTGGTGAGACTGCAACCCTGTTCCTTCCTAAATATATTCTTATAGAGCCTAATTTTAAAATTTTTAATTTTTCTTTGAATGAGTTTTCTTTTATATTTATTTATTTTTAGGTTGATTATAAAGGTGTAATGAAAGAATATGGACTTGGACCAAACGGAGCAATTTTGACTTGTCTTAACTTGCTTTGTACTAAATTTGATCAGGTTTATTTTTTTGTTTTTCTATTACTAAAATTCTTTTTTTTAAAAGATTCTTTCTCTTCTCGAAAAAAGAGATTCTTCAATTCCTTCAATTATTTTGGATACACCTGGACAAATTGAAGTATTTACTTGGTCTGTTAGTGGTTCTATAATTACTGGATCGTTAGCAGACAAATATCCAACGGTTTTTAATTTTTTTTGTTTTAAATTAACTTTAATTAATTCGATTTTCGGTCGAAAATTAGGAAATTTTTTTAACAATGAATAAAGAATGTGTTTTTTAATTTATTGTTAGTTATCAAATTTTTATTCCTCTAATTGACAAGAAAAATTCGCTACTGTGTGAACGGCCATAACTAGGCCCCAAGTGAAATTTCAATAAACGGATTATATTGAATGATACCACAAAATATTCAATTCCTCATGTCAGTAAACTATGTTTCCGAGTGGGCTAATAAATGTTACAAATGGTGGGCTAATTTTGTAGCATTTATTAGCCCGAGTGGGCTAATAAATGCTACAAAATAATTAAAAATTCTTTTTTTAGATAATTGCTTATGTTGTGGATAGGTTTGTTTTCATAATTAAATTTAAAATTAAATTTAATTTAAAAATTCTTTCAAGTGCTCGTTCAACTAATCCACGTACATTTATGTCTAATATGCTTTATGCTTGTTCTATTCTTTATGTATTTTTCTTGAAATTAATTTATTTATTTTAACTTTAGAGAACAAAACTTCCATTCTTTCTTGTTTTGAATAAATCTGATGTTGTAAGTTTTTTAAAAATTAAAGAAAAATTTTAAATATTTTTTTAGGTTAATCCAGAATTTGCAGTTGAGTGGATGGGGGATTTTGAAAAATTCTCGGTTGGGTTTCTTTAAAAAATTAAAAGAAAGATTATTTTAAAAATAATTTTAGAATGTTAAAATAATTTGTAATTCATCTAATTTTTAACAAAATTGCCTAAAAAGTATTTTTAAATTTTTGAAAATTATTTTTTGTTTCCTTCCTTATTTTGACCTCCTTTATCCCCCATAATTCCAATCTTTATTTTTTCCAAAAAAAAATTTTTTTTAATTTAAAATAGGACTCCTTAGATGACAGCGAATCTTGTTATGCCAACGATTTGACACGTTCACTTAGTATTGTGTTAGATTCTTTTTATCAAAATTTAAATTGGGTTGCTTGTTCTTCACAAACTGGACAAGGATTTGATAAAGTTTAGAAATTAAATTAATTTTTAATTTTTATTTTCAAAAAAGGTTTTGGAAATTATAGAAAAATGTAAAAAAGAATATAATAAAGAATACAAACCTTTTTTTGAAAAATTAAATAAAGATAAAGCTGAAATGGAAGCTAAATTTACAGCTGAGAGATTGGCTAGTTTACAAATTGGGGAAATTAATGGAAATAATAATAAAGAAGGGGAAAAAGAAGAAATAATAAAAGAGGAAAAATAAAATATTTTAAAAAATATTGGGAATTTTTTTGTTATAATTTTAAAATAAAAAAATTTATTTGAAGTTTCCGTGTGTAATTGATTGTGCAACAATTTACTGGG